TATTCGACTCAATGGAATTGGCAACCACTTTGAAATATTAAGTAGCCAGGTGGATCCAACCAAAAAAAGAGTTAATTTCATGCCCTGGCAGTAACTGTGTTTCGGTTATTCTGCATTGATTGATGTTAAATGCAACCTCGAGCAAGCCAACCCACTTGAATGTTTCTTTACTTTACGTTACCTTAATTGAAAATCGATCTAAAAACTAGTCTTGCTCTGCAATTTTATTTTGCCGCCAATATTCAAATTTCAGGGTCTTTACATCGGAAGGTTATTTTTAAACATGAGTTATGATTCCTTTTAAACCGGTGGAAACCTTCAGTATAATTGACTTTTGGAAGGTAGCCATGAATCCCGTATTTTCGACAGGAGTTAAAAGATATTGAAAGTTGAGCAGGAAAGGTAATAACCCAGGGAGTAATAAGCGAGCAAACTGTTTCTAAGCCTTGGCATTCGAGTTAGTTGATAACCGTAGTAGGGGCCTAACAAGGTTCTATTATTTTAAATTACCTGACAGAGCTATTTTTACCAAGAAATGAAATAATTGTGGCAATAAGAAAGAAAATCTGTACCTCACCTTTCTTCATGGTTGCTACTTGGTCTCCTCGTGGCTGTGAGAAAATAACCGATTGACCTACACCCATCCAAACCTCTTACTTCATTGGTCCCTATAACCTCCACTACCTTTTGTTTTCAGGGATAGGGGCATTGTTATGTCACCATCCCTATTGTTTTTGCAGCCAATCACAAACCTTGTTTGGAATAGGTGCAGGTCGGCCCAAAATAACAGCCGTAACTAGGTGTCTTTTTCGGCGTGAAAATACCTTCGACTTTGCTGGAGGGAGGGGTGGGGGGGGTTGATGTCGTTGTTTTAAGCACTTTTTGGAATACACATATTTTTCGAGATTGGTAGAGGTCACTCTTAGGATATTACAACCACTTTTATGTTGTTTCTTTCATCAGGATTTATTTATTTTATTTTTTAACCTCTTGAATTTTTATCCCATTACTCGTTTTCTTGTTACTCCGTTACTCGTTACCGCGTTACTCTGTTTAGTAACACCCCAAAAAATGAATCTTTTTACTTATTTTCAGTACTGATTATTATCGTTGAATCGACGATAAAATGGCTGAAATCTAAAAAGTTGGGGGGTGTTCACGTGAGAAAACTCGCACCGGCACAAGTTTCATACCGGAGTGACGTTTTGATTTCGTATCGCGATTACATAATGACTAGGTCATTTCATATCTCGTTATTTGAAGGTACACTTGATGTTGATAAAATGCACGTGTGATTCAAAATCGCAAACATAAGGCATGCACTAGCCGTTCTATTCTACCGGCAGAACAATTTCACACCGAAACGGGTGGGCGTTTCGCGTTTGCTTGATACCGTTGCGAGATTTCTTACTGGAGTGAAATTCTGGTATATACTTCATGGTAGAAAGCCACAAGTGCACCGGTAATATACACTCTGTGTATTCTGTAGTATTGTGTCTTCTCCCTAATAGCTAGTGGTAGTTACTAGTAGTTACTAGTAGTTACTGGTAGTTACTAGTAGTTAATGGTAGTTACTAGTAGTTACTGGTAGTTACTAGTAGTTAATGGTAGTTATTAGTAGTTACTGGTAGTTACTAGTAGTTACTGGTAGTTACTAGTAGTTATTGGTAGTTATTAGTAGTTAATGGTAGTTACTAGTAGTTACTGGTAGTTATTAGTAGTTACTGGTAGTTACTAGTAGTTACTGGTAGTTATTAGTAGTTACTGGTATTTACTAGTAGTTACTGGTAGTTGCTAGTAGTTACTGGTAGTTAATAGTAGTTCTTGGTATTTACTAGTAGTTAGTGGTAGTTATTAGTAGTTACTGGAATTTACTAGTAGTTACTGGTAGTTGCTACTAGTTACTGGTATTTACTAGTAGTTACTGGTAGCTACTAGTAGTTGTCGGTAGTTACTAGTAGTTACTGGTAGTTACTAGTAGTTATTGGTAGTTACTAGTAGTTACTGGTAGTTACTAGTAGTTCCTGGTAGTTATTAGTAGTTACTGGTAGTTGCTAGTAGTTACTGGTATTTACTAGTAGTTACTGGTAGTTGCTAGTAGTTACTGGTAGTTGCTAGTGATTACTAGTAGTTTCTAGTAGTTACTGGTAGTTATTAGTAGTTACTGGTATTTACTAGTAGTTACTGGTAGTTGCTAGTAGTTAATGGTAGTTACTAGTAGTTACTGGTAGTTACTAGTAGTTACTGGTAGTTAATAGTAGTTCTTGGTATTTACTAGTAGTTAGTGGTAGTTTTTAGTAGTTACTGGTAGTTACTAGTAGCTACTGGTAGTTAATATTAGTTCTTGGTATTTACTAGTAGTTAGTGGTAGTTTTCAGTAGTTACTGGTAGTTACTAGTAGTTACTGGTAGTTACTAGTAGTTACTGGTAGTTAATAGTAGTTCTTGGTATTTACTAGTAGTTAGTGGTAGTTTGTAGTAGTTACTGGTAGTTACTAGTAGTTACTGGTAGTTACTAGTAGTTACTGGTAGTTATTAGTAGTTACTGGTAGTTATTAGTAGTTACTGGTATTTACTAGTAGTTACTAGTAGTTGCTAGTAGTTACTGGTAGTTAATAGTAGTTCTTGGTATTTACTAGTAGTTATTGGTAGTTATTAGTAGTTACTGGTATTTACTAGTAGTTACTGGTAGTTGCTAGTAGTTACTGGTATTTACTAGTAGTTACTGGTAGTTACTAGTAGTTGTCGGTAGTTACTAGTAGTTACTGGTAGTTAATAGTAGTTCTTGGTATTTACTAGTAGTTAGTGGTAGTTTGTAGTAGTTACTGGTAGTTACTAGTAGTTACTGGTAGTTACTAGTAGTTACTGGTAGTTAATAGTAGTTCTTGGTATTTACTAGTAGTTAGTGGTAGTTTGTAGTAGTTACTGGTAGTTACTAGTAGTTACTAGTAGTTAGTGGTAGTTATTAGTAGTTAGTGGTAGTTATTAGTAGTTACTGGTATTTACTAGTAGTTACTGGTAGTTACTAGTAGTTACTGGTAGTTGCTAGTAGTTACTGGTAGTTGCTAGTAGTTAGTGGTAGTTACTAGTAGTTACTGGTATTTACTAGTAGTTACTGGTAGTTACTAATAGTTACTGGTAGTTAATAGTAGTTCTTGGTATTTACTAGTAGTTAGTGGTAGTTTTTAGTAGTTACTGGTAGTTACTAGTAGTTACTGGTAGTTAGTAGTAGTTAGTGGTAGTTATTAGTAGTTACTGGTAGTTACTAGTAGTTAGTGGTAGTTATTAGTAGTTACTGGTAGTTACTAGTAGTTACTGGTATTTACTAGTAATTAACAGTAGTTACTGGTAATTACTAGTAGTTACTGGTAGTTACTAGTAGTTGCTGGTAGTTACTGGTAGTTGTTGGTAGTTACTAGTAGTTCCTAGTAGTTATCGGTAGTTACTAGTAGTTACTGGTAGTTACTGGTAGTTACTAGTAGTTGTCGGTAGTTATTAGTAGTTACTGGTAGTTAATGGTAGTTCTCGGTAGTTAATAGTAGTTGTCGGTAGTTACTAGTAGTTACTGGTAGTTGGTGGTATTTATTGGTAGTTACTAGTAGTTAGTGGTAGTTACTGGTAGTTTTCGTTAGTTACTAGTAGTTGTTGGTAGTTACTGGTACTTACTAGTAGTTATCGGTAGTTACTAGTAGTTACTGGTACTTACTAGTAGTTGTCGGTAGTTACTAGTAGTTTCTGGTAGTTACTAGTAGTTGCTGGTAGTTACTAGTAGTTGCTGATAGTTACTGGTAGTTGCCGGTAATTACTGATTCGAGTTGACTGTTTTCATTTGCCTCGACTATCTCTATTGACGCTGTTGAAGTGAAAGTCTAGTAATATAACAGAACACTTGATGTTAGTTCCCCCCCGGAAAAACAGTTAGTTATATTTTTCGTCAGGTAATGATGTTTCCCTTGTTGACCTCGTCTCGGGAAACATCAGGACTCTCGGCGTTCTCAATTCCTCTCCTTTAGGTTCCGCCAATGTGGCATGAAAGCAATGTTCACACAAAGCAATCACTTTAAGTAGACTTTATTTGTGAAAGTTTATCTTAAACTTGATATGCCTTTACACAGAATGACAGGTTGGCTCATATATTCCATTTAAAGTGACATGTATTTCATTCTCAATGTCGTAACTCTTTGCCTTTAATTTTATTTCTACTAATTTATAAAAACCTCACTTAATGATGTCGCTGACATAGTCATTGTGAAAACCTTGTAAACAGTAATAGTCTTTAATGTGTTTGAAGTAAATATCCATTTCCTAGTTGTAGTAGTCCTTTGTAAAACCAATGTTACAGTAAAGGTTCTCTTTCTATAATTGGATGCAAACGGTTTTTAATTATCTAATTGTATTACGGCTGCGTAGATGGATCTTTACTAACCTTTTTTTTTTTTTTTTTTTGCGGTCGTAGCAGCAATTTTTGAGATTACCACCTCCTTCTGAATATAAAGTGATCTTTTTTTCTTGCTTTGTAAAGTGTGATCATGTCAAGATTTGATTAGTTATACTTTAGTTATACTTTGTACTTTCTGGCGGTGAAAGTTTGCACTTGGCATCACTGAGGCAAGTGGCTTTGTGGCACCAATTTTTTTTTTCTACTTCGTAAAGGTCCGTCAGCAGTGCACTGCAGCTCGAACAAGTGGCGGCATCGCGAGATGTTGGCTGTTTTCTCTGGCTGTACCGAGGCTTTACCGAGCTATAAAGATTCAGTATCGTTTTTTGAAATACTGAGACATTTATTTTTTTTCGCATTTTTTAACATGCTTGCAATTACACTAACAATTGAAGTTAATGGTAGTTGATCGCCCAGTTTATTATTACAGAATTAATATGTTACCATTATTTGAAGTTTCTTGATTAAATACAGTTTAGTACGGTAGTTCATCTTCTTGTCATGGTACTTATCTAGGCTACAGGTGAGTCTCCATCATTAAGTTGGCTTTCTGATAGATGACTTAAAATAGCATCTAGTCGTCTTTTTTTGTAATCAAGCTTTCCAATGACTTGTGCGAGGGACTTCGTGTTTTTGACGTCAGAATTCCTCCCAGCGCTACTTTGAATTACATAGTTATATAGGGTAGAAATATTTTCCTTAGATGGTAAAATGCTGGTTGAGTATAGAAATGATTCAGTCATATCTAAGATACAGCCCTCAAGTTCACTCCATCCTCCACTATGGTCTGTATGATTTGTTATTCCATTTTCCTTCAAAAATTGCGAGCCCCTCTGCCGTTTTAGAGATGGTGGACTGGATAGACCTGATTTCCTTTTTCCCGTGGGCAAGTCTTTATTTTTTTCTAAGCTGGACTCTTTTTCTCCATAGATGTTTTTGCAGTTGTAGCAGTGACAATTTTTACAGCCGAGGCCGTTCACAAAACAAGGACACTTTGTTCTATTCCTACCTTGTACGTCTGTGCACGATTCAACTTTGGAACTTTTTCTTTTTCGCGTTCTCCACATCTACACTGCGTCTTAAGTTGTTTTGATTTGTTGCTTGTTATGTTTCCACAGTTTCTACACTTACATCGATCCAATGAACATTTTTGTCCGCTGTTCACACAAGGACACCTCGACTTTTGGCCCCAAGAGTTTACTGCGCATGCCAATTTCTCTCTTGACTTTATTTTGCTGCCACAGCTGCATCCTCTTCTCTCATCTGCGTTTGTTTCAGTTCCTTTATCAATTGTAGTACCTATTTGAAGAGAAAATTTAAGTTTAAATCTAGCAATATTTTTTGTCTAGTTTAGGAACGCTACCATGGCCTTTAAATGCCTTACTTCCCGCGTGCAGGAGTACCTTTCTTCCCGTTCATTAAGCGAGGAGAAATAGGCGGGCGTGCCACGAGAAGTTCACAGACACTAAACATTCCACTTTTCAAGTCTGCCAGTGGTCAGAGGACGTTTTATTATAGAATAGTCAGTATCTGGAACTCCATGGATAACCTTCTTAAAACTTTTGAGTCAGTATCTGCTTTTAAGTTCAATCTGAAACGTAAACTGGTCAATTCTTAAGTTTTTATCATGTCATTTAAATTTTGGTGTGAATATTTCTATTAGAATTTCAAAGTAAAAGCTTTTTAAAATTAATCTATAAATTATACGTCTGACAAATATTATTGTAAATATTTTGAGCGTCCTTGAAGGTGTTTATTGTAATAAATTTTTATCTTTTTAGTCGTATGTAACTAATTGAATTATTGTCCTTGAAAAGCCTCCATGAGGAAAGTCAATAAAGCATGTATGTATGTACGTAAACGAGTTCGAATAGGTTTGCGACCAAGTTGAGACCGAGACAGTAAAATTTATCGCCTTGCTGTTCTCATTCTCAAGTATACTTTATAACATTTGGTCTTTTCACGTCATAGTTGTGCGGGGACGGCAAAGAATCGAATCATCCACCAAAAAATGTGCTGCAAGTGTAAAGTTTTTGTTTCTGTTTTTGTCTTGTCGTTTCTAGAGACCCCAAAGTGAGAGCGTACTAGCCATTACTAGATTTTAGCCCTCTCCCTTAGGAGAGACGGCTTAATTACACTATAAGGTCCTGTTTACATGGAGGTGAGGGACTCCAGGTAGGTGAGGTAACCAGCCTAGGTGGGGTAACCCGCCTGTCCATATAATCTCTCATTTTAATTTGATGACGTTTACCTGACATGTGGGGTGACCCGCTAAGGCGAATAGCCCGGTTTGTAACCCTCTCAGCCGGAGTCAAATTTTGCCATGTAAACGTTCAAGGTGGGGTAACCCGCCTAGCAGGGGTCCGATTCGTGATACATCAAATTCGCGCAAAATTCACTTTTGCGGTGACTTTCCATCATTATTAAAGGTAACAATAGAAAGCCACACAGTACTGAAGGTTGCAGCAAGAGCAACAAGTGAGTGTAGAAGAGTATTAATCGCCAAAAAACGTGGTTTAATTTTTTACCCCACCTAAGCAAGTTACCTAACGTACCTGGGGTCCCCCACCTCCATGTTAACAGGCCCTAAGAATTTGAGCCTGAGCTTTCCGCGCGAAAACATGAGATCTTCACACGTAAAACTAACACAATAGGGTCCTTAAGATACAAGGACACCCATGGCAGGTAAAACTTCCCTTAAAAAATGAATTTGTGGTTTTTCAGTCTTCATCGCTCTTACTCCATTTCGCCTACTTTGTCCTACTTTTTGATTAGCCTTCAGATCGTACTTTATCTAATATAATAACTGCTAATTGTTAATTTTACCTAAATCGTGTGGTTTAGTGGCATCATAGTGACCTGCTCCATAATAATGATAAGCCACATGAATAAACGTACTGGACAGGGGTCTGCTCGGAAGGAATGGAACGTACGGCAAGGATGTCAATGATGTAACCACCATGATTGGTACCCGAAGGATCTCTGCGCAGACTTTCATGACAAAGTCACCTAGGGCTGTGTCAAAAACGCCTCGCCTTTTAAACAGGTGTGCCGTTTGAGTTATCGTGTACTTATCTTGAGTTGGAAGAAAGGCTAGTAACTCGTTGTCCTCTTTAAGGATTTCTTCTACAAAGCACTCACGTAGCACTGCGGTGTCTTCATCCTCGGATTTCACAAGACCTATGTGTTTGAGATGACTCAACAAATCAGGATAATCTTCCCCGCAGGCGGAACTTAATGTCCTAATAATACTACGAAAGGCGCAATCTCCATCTTTAGGTATCTCGTCAATTTCGAGATGAAAACCTGACAGATTTCTAGACAGGGAGGTGAAGTGGTCTCGAACGGTAGGATCGCTATTATCATCTTCATCCTCCATACTAGCATGATGCATCGTCAGGCCGTTTGTGTTTGCTAGCAAAAACAAGTCGGCACTATTAAATGATCTGTTAAATTTCCCTTTCGTAAAGTTTTTTAAAATCAAGTGGTTTGAAATAGCCGCCTGGAGAATTCCTTGTGCCACAGTTTCTGAGCAAACATCTTCAATCTTGTCGGCAACAACCAGAACCTCGTCACTTCCATTTATAACATCCTTTGTCAATTGATCATTTTTGTGTGCTTGATCATGGCTGCTGTCATTTTCTGAATACGGATTCACCTGGAAGGGGTGCCATTCATTCACTTCCTTTGTACTTTCAGATACACACTGAACCCTCGCATTGCAAATATGTTTCCTATTGCACGAAACTCTCTTGCTATGATTATAAAATAAAATCATTAGGATGGCAACTGCTAGTTCTATCGTGATCCTTGTTGCTCATGATAAAAGCGATCTGTTTAATAACCGGTGTAGTTGCTCGTTTCTTTCTGTCCCCATACCGGGAGGTATCTCGGAAAGACAACCCTTGTCGATATGTCCTCTAAGGTTTTCTACCTGTTTAAGGGTTTCTTGAGTCATACAAGTACCTGGCGACGATCTCCATTTTTTCATAAATTTATCCAAGTTCTCTTTTATTTTTGCCTCGTTAGGGGTACTTTTCATTCGTTGCTCTCCCAGGTCATCGTCATGTCTAAAAACCAAACCGAATTCTTTTGCAAACTGATTCTTAGAAACCTGCTTGCTATCAAGAGTTTTTAGCACTCGCTGGCACGCATGAAAAAGATCCAGTTTGATAAGCGCTTGACGAAAAATAGACTGGTACTTCTGTCGATTCTTGCAGCAATCGTCAATGCAGATAAGTTCAATGACATTTTGTCGTTCAGGTTGTCGTCTTTGAAGTCTATGTTTCAAGTTAGTTAACAGGTCTTCTACTTCGCTGAACGCCGTCGACTTCGTTAGTCTCCAGTCAAGAATTTCCTTTCCGCTTTTTTATATTCGAATTTAGTAATCCTAGTGAGTTTTAAACAACGAAAGCCCTAATTTTTCACACGAAAGCGAAACCCTGAAGGATTCTGGTAGTAGTAATAAAATGACGCTATAATGCTAACAAGGACACTCAATGACCGTTTTCTGGGAAACATCTGTTCGTAGCCCTCTAGAATGGCTAAAATTTTCGAGAGCCCAATAACAGCTATATCGTGGTGACTGTTTGTTGGGCTCAGAGTTTCGGGATTTGTGTGGTTTGTTCACCTAAGAATTTCGGATTTTTTACTAATAAGTAGATTCTGATTTCGGCACCTAGAAATTTCGTAGCTTTCGTTGTAATCTCTAGATTCTGATTTCGGCACCTAGAAATTTCGTAGCTTTCGTAAACTAAGATTAGCAAAATTTCTAAACCTGGCTGACAGTCTCATTAGCGAAAATTTCACTCAACTGATTTAAAACCCAACGACCCTTTTCTGAGGGTACCAGGCTTAACGGTTTCGCGTACGCGACCTCTACATCAGCGCGCGCATCGCGTGAATAGCGCCTGTCAGTCCCATGTATCGGTCGATGGACACTCAGGACAGTATCGTAGCAGGACTGCGGATGGAGGGATAACCCAGACAACCCTATTGTAGCACTGTTCTCGGTATCTCCAGGATGCACAACGAGCCATTTCAGATCATTTCCCAGAAAACGGTCGTTGGGTGCCCTTGATGCTAATGCCTATTATGTACCCTAAATAAGGACAGGCGTTTTTTTAGAGAAAAAAGCTGATCTGAGTAAAGCGAATTAAGTAGAGCGCAGTCACACGATACGGGAGAACGGCAAGACAAATACACAGGCCCTCCCCCCCTTTGCCTCCCACGCAGACGTTCTTAGGGGTTCGTCAAGCGTTCCTGCCCCACTAACGCGTGACGAACCCCTAAGAACGTCTGCGTGGGAGGCTACTTCCCCCTCCCGTCCATGTAAAGTGTGTCAAGTGGGGTGGGTTACCTATCATTTTTTCGAGGCCATTACGCATCTCGGGAAAAAATAATACATAATATATACACATGTTATATACGTACAATTTCAATGCATATATGATATAAATATAGAAAATGAGAGAGCAGAGCTCCCAGGTGTATATGTGCGTGTGTGTGCGTGTGTGTGTGTGTGTGTGTGTGTGTGTGTGTGTGTGTGTGTGTGGGGGGGGGTGTATGGGGGAGGGTACTGTCTATGAAAGTGTTCTAAATTCATGTCCACCCCTAAGAGGTACCAGGTCAACTACAACAAATTATCTAACTGTCACTGCAAATTCTTTTCCCAGCGGGCCGCGCACTTTCTAAAAAGATCTGAATCCGCAAGCCTTGTCTGTTCATTTAAACATCAACAATTTCCTCTCCTGGGCCTTTCTGATTGTGGTCATTACATCGTCGTTTACATTTGTCAATAGTTTTAGGTAAGATCATTAATTTAAAAGTATTAATAATAATAATAGTAATAATAATAATAATAATAATAATAATAGATTAGTTTGCCAGTACGTAGAAAAGTGTCCCCAATTAGGGACGGACCGTTACAAAACTTAGGGGGGGGGGGGGGGAAGTCAAAAAAAAAAGATTAGGGAAAATTAAATGAAAAAAATTCTTGCACGCCAATTAACCCTAAAAAATATTCATGCTATGGCCTAACAAAAAAATTCATACAAGGAGTTTGATA